GTAAATGGTGCACCAAAGTCCCTATATATCATTCGATTTGCATGAATTTGAATTTGGCATAGCACACTGAATTGAGTCTAAAATGATATGTGTATGTTTCGGAAAATCGGGTCTGGTTTCGATATAGCTCCCACATATACATATATATTCGTCCAATTTTACATGAATGGTGCACCAACCTTCTAATGTTTGTCCGATTAACACAGTGCGGCGACCGAATAGCGTGTATTACTTTCGCTATAAATTGTTTTTCATAAATTTGTCCCATGGTACGAAGTTGAATCTAAATCTGGCTGAATGAAATTAAATTTATCATAGGTTGAAGAAAGATTTGCGTATGTTTCTCGAAGGGGATACATATGTACTATATACCCAAAGTGGTGAAGGGTATCATATAGTCGGCCCAGTCCGACTTTACTGCTAGTTAAGACTGTTTGACTGACTGTAGGACAGATGTTACGCATCATGCCCAAAATTCGAGCTCAATATAAATTCAACAGGGTACCAATAACACCCGATTGATTTCTATAGATGGTGCTCTTTTGCTCCAGTCGGTGATGGGTGTTCTCTAAGATTGTATTCACTCTGTATTGCTTCCTCAAATGAATCCGTGTAAATGCAATTCAATCATTTTGATAGATTGCCTGATCTTGTACTTCTTGGCCTCTTTCTCCCTTAAATTTTAGGCAGAATAGAATGCTTTTTCATTGCGTAGCGAACCTCAATGGTGTGGTCATTGGCTTCATGGTAGGTATATTCATATTACTAGTAGTCATATAAATTCCATACCCGCTGCTAAATTTCGTCAATATAGAAAAAAACATAGACTACTCGGTGCGCCATGGGATAAAAATATATATGGGAGCTATATCTAAATCTGAACCTATTTCATCAAAACTTCACGGATATCAAACTGTAGTAACTTCAATACGGTATACAAAATTTTGTCTCAATCGGACGAACATTGGCAGTATGGTGCACCATTTACATAAAATAGGACTAAACTATATATGGGAGCTATATCTAAATCTGAACCGATTTTCACGCATACATCAAGCTGGACCTATGTTAATACTCTGTGCAAAATTTTGTCTATATCGGTCTAATATTGACAGTATGATGCTCCATTTGCATAAAATCGGACGAAACTATATATGGGAGCTATATCTAAATGTGAACTGATTTTCTCCATTTCAATAGTGTGCAAAATTTAATCCAAACCAATAGGATTCGTCCTTGAGCCAATTAGGTGGCCTGTGCCAAATTTCATCCAAATCGGAACATAAATGCGAGCTGTACTTTGTTCACAAAAATACATGAACGGACGGACAGACGGGCATGCATAAATCGACTCAGAAAGTGGTTCCATGCATATTCTCAAAAGGAACCATGGGTCCATCTCGATTCTTTTCGCCCGTTACAAACATATGCTCAAATAATATGCATAATACCCTGTACCACAGTGTGGTGAAGGGTATAATTAATCCAACGATGCACTGCTTGGATTTTAACCTGTAGACCACTTTGCCTTCTGAACCATTAGGACACTTCCGAAGGTAGCATAAAATCATATTTATAACCTGGGATCAATTCTAGGTGTATGATTTATCGGATTTATTTCGCGTTGTTTAATCCGACAAATAGTCTGGATAAGTCCACTTCTTGACATATTCCCTATTTATGACCCCGCTCATTATTCCTTAAATCGCAAGAAGCGAGAGTATGGTATAGTTTCCATTGGGGTTGCATATTTCATCACAAATAAATGTTAATACATTTCCTTGGAAAATATTGTTTGGCTAGGTTCACGTTTATTTAATAATCACCAAATAAAGATCCCACCCATTTTCGATTACATCGCTGTAATATAGTGTCACGTGGGGTTGGAGACATGAATTCAAGTAACTGTCAATATGCGTATAGTGATGGGTATCAAAAGATATTTCTCTTTAGTGGTTTCAATTATTTTCATAACACTGATTTCATAAAAATTAATCACGAAAATCTACTTGTCATCAACAGGTTCAACGTCTAGAAATTTCACAACCATTCCACAACAAGTTTCTTTACTTAATTTAATTTATGGCAATTAAATAATTAAGCATTAAATAATTAAACATATTGTTAGACATCATCGCAGTTCATTGACGTCAAATGACATCAAATTTTCTCTTGCACAAAAATGCCGAACAAATGAAAAATGTCAAATGATTGTTATATAAGTTTGCTATGACATGTCTACTAATTTGTCAAGGTAGCAATTAAATGAATAAAATTAAGAAAACAAAATGAATTAATTACAATAATTGACCATCAACATGCCATAACGTACGCCAGCCCCTACTCCCACATATTTTAGTTGAAAATGCCAACAAACAAATAAGCAACAATACTATAATCGAATAAAAGTTTTGTGGGGGCGATGAAATACAAATTATGCTAAAATATTGTTATTATTGTTGCTGCTGTTTTTCTTTGAATTCCACAAAGGAAAATTTCTATTTACCACAGCAACAATAAACAACGCATTTGGCATGTACTCTTATGGACGATTTTCAATGTCCTGACCTTGACACTGTGTCATTTTGATGAATTTGTTATGGACGGGATTAGGATGAATAATTTTGTTCTCCAGAAAAAAAATGTGGACGGAATGGGGGAAAATTTACATTATAAATGCAGGGTAAGATAACTTGCGACAGCAATTTGAATTTGTCACAAAAGGTTTTATATTCTCGGAGAAAACGAAAATCTTGTCAAATAATGCAGGACCTTTATATGGGGGAAATGCACAATATTGACCTCTATTAAAATATTATGTCAAGAGGTTTTTTATCTCATAAAATCCCTTAATACCTATATTGACAATACTCTGCACTGAGAATGAAGAATGCCATATTGCAGGAACTTCGTTTGGGAAATGCGTATTGGACATGAAATAACTAAAATAGAACCGAAATGCCCTTTGTAGTCTCTCACAAAGTATTATTTGAGCAAACATTTGGCAACAAATTTCAAATTTCATTAAAAAGTTTGGACCAATGTCATTGAAAATTACTTTGTCTCTCTGATAAACAACGTTAGTAACTTAAACATAGCAACAATTAAGCGAGACCTTTTTGTGTATTACTAACAAGTAGGAACCTATTTTGAACATATTCTGAAGGAAGTAGTTTCGTTACTAAGATCTGTTGAATATTGCGACGAAAACCCTCAAAATACCGAAATTTGTATGAAATCTTTATATGTGGGCTATGTTATGGACATATTACAATTTTATTATATGGTTCATTTTATGCCTATATGTATGCCCGCCTACTATAATCCGAAATGCCAAATAAGGCCTTTTCGATTGGAACATGCGGCTAAACCCTCAAAATACCGAAAATTGAGCGGGACCTTTATATGGAAGCTTTGTATCAAGGTTTATTCATAACGTTAACAGGGAGGCGAATTCGTAGTCTTCGTTGACTGTCATATTTAATATTTGAGGAATAAATAAACAAAAAATAATTTTTTTCGAACCAAAATATATGTGCACATTACTATCATTACGTTTTCCTGAAAGATATTTTGAGTTTTTATCCTGTTCTGGTTGATATTTCGCGATTAAAATGTTGACAGCAAGAGAAGACTAAAGCATGAATTCGCATGCCTGTAACATAGACCTACAGGAATAATTTTCTACGCATATGATCGTCAGCAGCCTTTTCGGTTGGGAAATGCGACCTAAAACCTGCTAAAACAGCGACCTATGATGTTATTTTATGAGCAGATGTAAGCCAGCCTCCAATTTTAGTTGACAAATGCGAACCCTTAAAATACTCCAAATTGATTGGTGGGCTATGTAAAAACGTCAACCTGTAATGATAACACTGTGAGAAAAATTTCAATTTTTTTGATAATTACCCGGAAATTCCAACAGATTATGAAAGAGAGGCTATAAAAAGAAGACACGTGTATCAGCGTTTTGAAAATTTACGTCGGGGTAACCTATTCTGAAAGTTATAGTAAAACATTATGGCGAACATTTCTATAGGATATTCTGTGCACCTTTAACCCCGTTTGAATGAGTTTTTAATAACGTCTGAAAAGGGGGCAGAAAACACCCCTTCAATGAGTCGTTTTAGGATTAAAGTTGTGTATCAAAATATTCCTCAGTATGTAATCAGTAATATTGCCGAAGTCACTATATACCTAAAAGTAAGGATTTCAAGAAATCATAACACGAAAATTATCAAAGGGAGAATATTGTCCCCCGTTTTTAGGTTACCCCCGAAGTAAACTTTCAAAACTCCGATACACGTGTCTTCTTTTTTAGCCCCTCTTTCATAATCCTTTGAAATTTCCCGGTAATTATTTTTTGTGTTGCATAGTGTAATTTTCTGAGCAGATGTATGACAGTATCCAAGTATGCGAAATGAGAATAAATACAAGGTGAAAAATTTTCAAATAATAAAAAAAATCTTAAAAATCCATGCAAAAATTATTCTTTAAAAAATCCATGCTGTTGTAGCCTCTCAAAAGTTTTTCTTTCAAATATTCACGCTGTGGGCACCTCTCAAAAATTGTGCTTTACAAAATCCACGCTGCAATAGCCTCCCAAAAATTATGCCTTAAACAAATTAACCAATATTTCGCGGCGTTACATACTCTTGAGGCCACACAAAGCTATAGTACCCTGACAACATAGTTGTGTAGGGTCCATTGTGGTCACAATCCCTGAAGTTTTCAAATCTCCTTGTTTCCTCGCTCCTTTTTCCTTTACTTTATTTTAATCCCCATCAATGTACTAACAATAATCAAAACAACTACGCTCTTATCCTATTTGAAATGTATTGGTCTGATGACAACATGCTGAGCACCATTGTACCGAATGAATGAACCATGGAAATGTTTATTTGCTTAGCACCATATTTTCCAAATCGTTATTTAATGTTGTGGCTCATTTTGTTCGGCTTGTTCATTTATTATTTTGTTTTTTCATTTTTTGGTTTCAGGCCTCTCCGATACAAAACTCCATGAAATTCTATTGGATAATAAAGAAATCAAACTCAGCTGGATGGTCGATTGGTACAAACAAGAGGTTCTCTTCCATCTACAGAATGCCTTCAACGAACAGCATCGATGGTTTTATTTGGGCTTTTCGAAACGTGGCGGCATTGGAGATGCCGATATCTGTTTTTTTGAAAATCAAAATGGATTTTTCAATGTGGTTACGGACACCTACACCAGTTCGGATGGTAAATATGTACACAAGGACTATCAACAGGATTGTGTACTTTTCAAGATGGATGAATCGACATTGGCGTTTAAGCGAAAGTTTGATACATGTGATCCGTCGGATTTTCGTTTTCATGTAAGTGTTGAAAGACTGGTTTGAGTGGGAGAAGTGGGTGTTTGTAATGTAAAGCCTCTTCGAACCAGATGTGGCTAATTAATTTCAACATGTTTTCTATGTTTTCTTTCTTTCTTGTTGTTTTTATCGTTTCTTGTGTTTTGTTTGTGGCTTAACAGGAAGGTACAATGTACATTATGTGGGCAAGAGGTGAAAATGAATTGGAATTGACCGATTATCAATTTCCCTTCCCAAATGTGTCTACCCATGAGTCTGGCATAAAAATGATGCAACTGTTGAGAGCCGATAAAATTCTAATACCAGAAACGTAAGTAAGAAAATTATTTGTTTATAAAATAGAAATAGGAATGTGTTTTGAGATTAGAGGGAATTGGTGGAGATTTGTATATAGATTCCGCACATATTTTGGTGCGGCTTCTCAGACGGACGGACGGATGGACGGCCATGCATAAATCGACTCTGAAAGAGATTCTATGCATATTCTCAAATCATGGGTCTATCTCGATTCACAAACATATGCACAAAAACATAATAGTCTGTACCACAGTGTGGTGAAGGATATAAAAACATCAATAATGACCAAAATTTCCGGGTAGACCCCATATAATGGTACACCCATTATCCTGTATATGGGGGTTTGGGTATGTTTTCAACGGAAATCGCTCTATAGCCTGTACCACCGTGTGGTGAAGGATATAAAAACCATCAATAATAGTCAAAGTTTCCAAGTAGCCCCCATACACACATTATCCTGTATATAGAGGTTTGGGTATGTTTTCAACGGAATTCGCTCTAATTGGATTTATGGGGATTTAAAATGTTCCTACAAAAATTATCAATTTCACACAGAACGACACCATTCCATTTTTGGTATTTTGAAGACTTGAGCCGCATTTCCAGACGATGTGGCTAAAATTTGGAACAAAGGGTTCTGGAAGCGTGGCTTATATACAAGTTTGTGCGGTGTATATATAGGTAAAAGTTTTGACATAAACTTTCCAATTCTTTTCCTGTAATAATCAGTGACGAAAAAAATAAATTAAAAAGTCCCGTTTAAGTGCCTGTAATTTTAAACATTTTTTTTCGGAACATGAACAACCACCATAACATAGTCCCCATATAAATGTCCCTATCGACTTAAGGAATTTTGAATGCACCCCACGTGGCGGAGGGTATACAAACTTCGGCCCGACTGACTCTGGATTTTTATTCCCTTCAACACACTGTGGTACAGGGTGTTATGTCTTTGTGCATATGTTTGTAACAGGCAAAAATAATCGAGATAGACCCATGGTTCCTTTTGAGAATATGCATAGAATCACTTTCTGAATTTATGCATGTCCGTCCGTCCGTCTGTCCATGTTAAATTGTAAACAATGTACAGGTCGCATTTATGATCCGAATTGGATGAAATTTGGCACGGCTCATTTGTTTGGCCCAAGGACGAACCATATTGAAATTGGGAAAAATCGGTTCAGATTTAGATATAGCTCCCATATATATTTTTGTCAGATTTAAGGTAAATGAGGTACCAAAGTCCCTAAATATCTTTCGGTTTGCATGAATTTGGTACATCCGACTGAAATAGGTCTAGAATGACGTGTGCTAAGTTTCGTGAAAATCGGTTCAGATTTAGATATAGCCTATATATCTTTCGATTTGCCTGAAATTTGCTATAGCCTACTGAATTAGGTCTAGAATGATGTGTGCTAAGTTTCGCCCGATTTAAGGCACATGGTGCACCGAAGTCCCTATATATCTTTCGATTTGCCTGAAATGTGCTATAGCCTACTGAATTAGGTCTAGAAGGAGGTGTGCTAAGTTTTCTGAATATCGGTTCAGATTTAGATATAGCTCCCATATATATAGTTTCGCCCGATTTTAGGTAAATGGTGCACCAAAGTCCCTGAAAATCATTTGATTTGCACGAATTTTGGCATAGCGTATTGAATTACGTCTAGAATGACGTGTGCTAAGTTTCGTGAAAATCGGTTCAGATTTAGATATAGCTTCCATACATAGTTTCGTCCGATTTTAGGTGATTGGTGCACCAAGGTCTCTGAAAATCATTCGATTTGCACGAATTTCGGCATAGCGTATTGAATTAAGTCTGTAATGGTGTGTACACCTCCTATATATATTTTCGTTTAAGTAAGTTGTGCACTAAATATCCACAGCTAGGCCGATTGACACAACGTATTGAAATTAGTATAAATTAATATCTGGCAATTTTTCTTCAAATCGGTTCAGATATATAATTTCGACTTATTTATTGAGATTACATTTTAAACAGTGCAGCATATCGAATAGCGTGTGTCAAGTTTGCTTTAAATCGATTTACACAAATCTGTCCCACTGTGCGCAAACGACTCTAAACTTGCCCAAACTCCTTGGTTTTGTAAAATATGTCATTTATTTTTGTTTTGAATCAAAAATATTTGTTTACATAAACAAAGGTTTGGTCGTAAGTCACTCGAATTCGTTCGTTTAGAATTTTACAAAAACAGGCTGTTAAGTTCGTTCAATTTCATGTCAATATTCCTTCAAAAAGGCGACGTCTTTTCGGACGTCGTATATACCCAAAGTGGTGAAGGGTATCATATAGTCGGCCCAGCCCGACTTTACTACTCACTGGTTCAACTTGTTGTATGATAAGAAGTGCTAATCTTCAACTATTTAATAATGTTTTCTTAAGTATTCTCCTGCGGCTGTCAATGCAAATCACCCAAATTAAGATGTGTGCAACGAAGGATAAAACTCTACTTAAGAAAAATAGTTGACTATGAAAAGAAAAAAACTTTTTATATTGCCTCTCATTCTCGCATCTGCTACAGTGTCGCTTTTATAACTACCCGTTACAATTTATTAACTCTGCTTTACATTTTTTTGTTTTCTTTCCATTTATCTTCCTGTCGTTTCTTTGGTGCTGACTGCCTCTGGTGCTGTTGTTGTATAGTGACCTGAAACAAGTCGAAATACGACTAAATAAAGTGACAGTGCCGGACAAAGAGACCACTTATTGGTGTCACATACAAAAGCTCGATAGTTTCCTGCAGCAAAAACATCACATTGTTCAATTTGAACCTATCATTACGACACCGGGTCTTGTCCATCACATGGAGGTGTTTCACTGTGAAACCGACTGGGACGTTGAAATTCCGCTCTACAATGGTGATTGTCAACAGATGCCCGAACAGGCGAAAGTTTGTTCGAAAGTTATTGCGCTGTGGGCCATGGGCGCCAGCACGTTTACTTATCCGCCGGAGACTGGCTTGCCCATTGGTGGCAAAGCGTACAATCCTTATATACGTCTCGAAGTGCATTTCAATAATCCAGAATTTGAGAAAGGTAAGTTGGGAGGGGTGGTTGAAGAAGGTGATCACCATGGCGAAGCATCAGCATCATTTTGTCGAAGTGTGATTCATTTCCATTGGCATATTGATGAAGTACGCTTGGCAAGGATAAACGAAATGTGCTGAGTAGTAAATAATTCGAGATTTATTTTTGTCAACGATGTGGGTGGTTCAAATACACTCAAGGAAAACTTGTGGAACTAAAAAAATAATAATTAAATAAAAAATAAAAACAAATTCTCACCTATGGAAATGATATGATAATTTTTAATTAGATAAAGTGAATAATGTAACCATTTGAATTAAATTTTTCTTTGAGTGTATATCTCACTTTTACAATCCAATGGCAAGACGTAAAAAATCCACTCACGAAAAACATCATCGTCATCAACATTAATTTTACTTTAGTTAGCGAAAATTTCTTCATTTATTTTATTGCTGATCTCCCTTTGGCATTTGTTTTTTTTTTCAACTCGTTCTATTTTTTCTCCTTTCACAGGTCACATCGATAGTTCAGGAATGCACATTAAAATGGTTTCCAAGCTGAGGCAATTTGATGCCGGTGTCATGGAGTTGGGCCTAGAGTATACCGATAAAATGGCCATACCACCGGGCCAAGTGGCATTTCCTTTGAGTGGTTATTGCATTGCCGAATGCACAGAATTGGTAAGTAGATGGACGGATGGATGTAAATTGGCAGGGCAAATGTTAAAATATTCTCACAGAAACCTATCGGGTCAATTTTTATTTTCCAACTTTGGGTAATTGACATTTGTGTACGATGTTGATGAAGCCATTTGTGCATATTAAGAGTGTGTAGGTGGTGGAAAATTACATGCCACAAATACACATACATACAAATGTACACACCTAGTTGACTTTTGTTTGCTGTTGGGTTTGGAAGCCATTCATGTGTGTGTTATGTTTTTGTTTTTTTGGAAATAACATTGCTTGCAAACAATTTTTACACTTTACTGCGTTTCTGAAATGCATTTTAGTTAGCCTTTGATATGATTTTTCACACAGTATTTAAATTAGTTTTGCAAATTTTTTCTAAACATTTTTACATGGGAAATATTTTCTTGTAATGGAATTTATTCGTGAGGGGTTTTTTTTGTAGCAATTAACAGGATATTCAATAAAATGAAAATATTTTTTATTTTATTATTTAATAATTGACTCAGTTCAGAAATGTTTGTTTAAGTTGATATGACGAAAACTCGACCAATGATAAAGTTCCATATAGAGGTTGGTATACAAACATACATAGTAGGAAGCGAGCATTTTTAACACTAGATTGCCGAAGGCAGTCATTTTTACCGTTTCTCAATTTCAAGTACAAAAACAATTGTGTATATTATGACACAGCTTTTTAAAATTTGGTGACTTTTTGTACCACATAGAACTACGTTTATTAATCATAGTAGCTGCTTCCTCCCCTCTTTCATTCCTCGTATTCACATACATATATTGTCTAAAATCGTTCATTTTGACCTCTTAAATAATGAAACTACTTTTATTATTGTATAAAGTAAATGTGTTATATGACCAGATCAGTAGAACAACATCGAAACCCGTTGGCTACTCTAGAAACACAAACGAACACACAAATCGGGAAAAAAATTTTATATCTCCAGTCGATTTCACTCATAGAGTAAAGACTTCCTCTTTTTCGAACATTTTGTCCGCGCTCTTATTTTTCAAAAGGGGAAACTCGAGAGCTCTACCACCGAAAACAAATAATAACAACGTTTTGTATGATTGTAAATAATGTAAACAAGTGAAAAAGCTGTAAGTTCGGCTGGGCCGAACTTTGGATACCCTCCACCATAGTTATATTGACCGGTACTAGAAATGAAATTTAGGGAACATGCCAAAAAGTGGACCTATACCGACATTTCTAAAAACGGATTATGTAAACCGTAATACAGATTTCAGAAATTTTTAATGGATAATTATACCCTCAGCCTTATGGGTAATGAGGGTGTATACACTTTAACACGGTGAAAGTGTGCCTCATCGAAATATTGGTTCTAGACCCCATGTTCCTTTGGACCAAATCCGTTTCAGAAAATTAAGATTTCATCCGAACTTTGCCCATCTTATTATTTCTTCCAAGCTTAGTTCAAATTCGAAGATGGGGAATATCGGTCCACTCCTTCTGGAACCTCCAATCAGGGGCTAGGTCTAAATGCGGCTATAGGTCATTACCGAACCTTACGTTCTAATTTTGTATCTCTCTATCCTCCGCAGGTGAAATGATTACAAAAGAGTCTTAAAACCAAACTCAAAACGCGCAGCAAATGCGACTACCCCAAAAAGGGGGCGAATATTAATAATTTTGGGTAGGGAGATTTGTTACCATATACGACTACAAAATACAAATTTGCAGCAAATTAGGTTGAAAAACTAGCTCAAGAACCCCAAAATACCGAAAATTATATGGGGGCTAACCGAAAAAATATGGGAGCTATGGCTAAACGTGGACCGATGTATCCCATCTTGGAACTTGACCTGCCTGCAAACAAAACACAACCATATGCAAAATTATCTCAATTGCTTCAGAAGATAGCGTGATTACAACAGACGGACGGACGGACAGACAGAATTTTACCCTGATCAAGAATATATATACTTTATAGGGTCGGAAATGAATATTTCGATGCGTTACAAAGGGAATGACAAAATTAATATACCCTCCATACTATGGTGGAGGGTATAAAAATATTAAAAAAATAGGTAAAAAAATTCTTTACACAACAAAAACTCTTTCAGAATGAGGTCATTTTGACCGATTTTAGGCAATATAGGTATATACAAAATTTCCGTCTTTCTAGTGTTAAAAGAATATTTTTGAGGGAACTTCATAGATACAAGTGCGGATGTTGTCAATGAATATTTTTTGAGTGATATTCAGAGAAAGAAGTGTGATTTTTTACGAAATTTTTTGAGTACCCTTGGAGTTGTAAGTGACATTTATTTTAAAGAAAACATTGATAGTATCTTCACCACACTGTGGTACAGGATATTATGTCTTTGTGCATATGTTGGTAACAGACATAAAGAAACGAGATAGACCCATGATTCCTTTTGAGAATATGCATAGAATCACTTTCTGAGTCGATTTATCTTTAGATGTTAAATTGTAAACAAAGTATGGGTCGCATTTATGATCCTATTTGGATGAAATTTGGCACAAGTTTCTTAGTTGGCCCAAGGACGAACCCTATTGAAATTAGGTACTGACTTAGATATAGCTTCAATATATATTTTCGTCCGATTTAAAGTAAGTGGTTTGGTTCATTTCATCCACAAAACTACGAAAAAGGAATTGGAGTCTTCTTTGGCCAGGACCCATTCTACATGCAAAATTGCATGACAGTGTTTACAAATTATAATGGACAGACGGACGGGCACCCATGTCTAGATCGACTCAGCTAGTCGTGATATGACAATCGGTATACTCAAATATGGGTCTAGGACCAATATTTTGCGGCGTTACAAACTCTTGGGCCTGCACAAGCACGTCATTTAAACAAAAATTAACACACGTCATTCTGGAGTCAATTAAATATGCGGTGGAAATTTTGTGCACATGAAAGAAAAATAATCTCTTTGGTGTACTAAAATCTGACAAAAATATATATGAGAGTTATATATAAATTAACGGATTTAACCATAACACAAATAATTATAAACTAAATTCAATATCCTCAATACGTCACATATCTTATAAATGTTTCAAACATATGCTCTTTGGTGCACCATTCATTCAATCAGAAGAGAATATATTTGGACACTTCCACAGTCACTTACACGACTTTCAGATGCAAAATCAAATCTTAAAAAAATTTCAAAATTCTCCCTTCATACTTTTTTATAGAACTTTAGGAGTACTATCAGTGGTAAAAAAATCGAGAGCCTCTAGTTTTTAATTTTTGAGATAAAAGCCACAATAGAGCGGTCACTCATGCGACTTCAAATATACATGAGTTTAGACATCACTACTAATAATGGGAAAACTCTGTGAATTGTGTAAATATTTTAAACTTTTAATATTCATTACAAGAATAAGAGATACCAAGCACTATTATTGCACTTTCAAAAATTGAAAATATGGCATATTCTTTATTTGCCAAGGATTTTTCTCGGTCACTCATGCGACGTAACTCACGCGACATTGTTGATTTTGCAGTTTTTATTTCTGGAGTGTCTGCATTTTTAGTCATTAAATTTGTATTTATGCTGTGGGCTGTGCAAAATTTCTTCTCATAAATGCTTTAAAATGGACAAACAGACGGAAGGACTGACGGGCATGCATACATCGACTCAGAAAGTTATTCTCTACATATTCTCAAAAGGAACCATGGGTCTATCTCGATTCCTTTTGAATGTTACAGAAATATGCACAAAGACATAGTATCCTGTACCACAATGTGGTAAAGGATACAAACAGCCGTTTGTCTTATGACCACAATTCTCCGATTAACAAAATAGTTAAACAAATCTGAATGTAATGGCATCTCTTGAATTATTCGATGATTTTCAAAACCCCAAATAATTTTGCTATTCCGGGTTCAAGTGATATAGAGAAAAACATTTTTCCATAAAATTTTGGATATTGTTCCGTACATTTGACACGTGCTCATCAAAACACCCCATTTCGGTACTTTGAAGTCCCTATATTTCTTTCGATTTGCACGAAATTTTGCATAGTGTACTGAATTGAGTCTAGAATGACGTGTGCCAAGTTTTCAGAAAATCTCTTCAGATTTATATATAGTTCACATATATATTTTCGTCCGATTTAAGGTAAATCGGGCACCAAAGTTCCTATATATCTTTCGATTCGAAATTTGACATAGAGTACTGAATTAGGTCCAGAATGACGTGCGCCAAGTTTCGAGAAAATCGGGTCAGATTTATATAAAGCTCCAATATATATTTTCGACCGCTTAAGTTTTTTTCGATTTTAATTTTTCAAGATTTTCAATGGGCTGGTAAATCAATACCAATGCTTGTTAAGGTTTGTAACTTTGCCCATATATATATTTGAAGATTTAAAAGAGAAGAAAAATAATTTACAAAAAAATTGTGTTGTTGTCTTGTTGTTGTTTTTTGTAATTAAAAAAAAACTCCCCATTTTAATGGCGGGCATAATAACTCCTCACTGGAACATCGGAATCCGAAAATTCTAACGGCGTTAGAAAGAGTACTCTCGTATGAACTAGGATTATTGACCTCGCTCTAAAAGTAACAAAATGACGGACCTTTGAAAAAATATTTTTGTAAAATCATGTTAAAAAATATGGAAGGTCTTCACCGATTGGCTTTATCCTAGATCATACGAATGCTATACATTCACAGAGAAACGTGTAAAAATTTGGAATCGATTGGGTTATTAGTTTTTGAGTTATCGTGCCCGCCATTCGCAAAAGAGAAAAACGCGTTTAAAATTTGAGAAGCCCTTTAGCCGTTACCTGATGCTGACACAATAAATCGGCTATATCATCAAGAGTTCTTGAGATTTTCACTTAAAATTTTTTAGGGACATTCTTTAATTAGTGTAATTAGTGTAATTAGTGTGGGGGTCCCCTTAATTTAAATTGTGCACTAAAGACCCGATTTTGTACAATGTACTGAAGTTACTATAACCTTTCGTGTGTTAAGTTTTCTTGAAATTGATTCAGATTTACATATAGCTTATATATATTCTTTCGGCCGAATTTAAGTAAATTTTGCACTAAATACCCATAGCTAGGCCGATTGACAAAACTTACTAAAATTACTAAAAAATAATATTTAGAAAGTTTCCTTGAAATCGGCTTAGGTTTGGATATAGCATAGCTTCCATATAATTTCGACCTATTCATGTTGATGGTACACCAAATAATCAATCGGTGCCTGATTAATACATTTTAAATAGTGAAGGATACCAAATATCGTGTGTAAAGTTTGCTTTAAATCTATTTTTTATGTGGAATATAGCCAAAATGGTTCAGTCCGACTTTCTGTTTTCATTTTATTTTTAATTACAATTCTATTAAACAGAAAAACTAACAATTCTTTACTTAAATTTCTCTATTATTTAAATTTCAGGCATTACCACCATCGGGTATTGTTGTTTTTGGCTCACAGCTGCATACACATCTGCGTGGTGTTCGAATATTAACACGGCATTTCCGTGGCTCTGAAGAATTACGCGAACTGAATCGTGATGATTATTATTCACATCATTTTCAGGAAATGAGAAATTTGCATTACAAACCACGAGTTTTACCGGTAAGTTTTACGCAACAGCGACGGTGACTGAGCACCAGTATATTAAACCAGTACCATTGCAACTTGTCCAACTTTTAACCGCAAACAAAATAAGTTTTTTTGGTTTTTCCTTTTCTTGTTGGTAATAGTGGTGGACATTCTTTAGTGGATTTGTGTTTTTTCTGCTGTAAAAGTTTCGACACAATCTGTCTGCTGTGCAATTTTCCTTGAAATAAGTTTTTCTTGCACATTTTGCATTATAAAATCGAGGATCAACTATACAATTATTGTGGTCTTTAGTGAAAAAGCTAGGACAAATTTATGGAAAATGCTGGTGATTATTATGAAAAATTTTGTTTGAAAGTTATATTGCAGATGAAGTAGAAAGACTGTTGTATAAATAAATTGTACAGCTGTTTAAATATTATTTAAAATTGAAAATGCAATTGGTTAATTTAAATGTGTCGATATGGTTAAGTTTTTTTGTTAGTTTTTACACTCCGTTCTCTATATTTTGTATATAATATAATTTATGAAAATATTCTACTATATATTTTCACATTTTTTCTGATTTTCTTTTTCATTATAATTTAGGGCGATGCCTTGGTTACCACCTGCTATTACAATACCATTGGCTATGAAAAGGCTACCCTTGGCGGTTTTTCCATTAGCGATGAGATGTGCGTTAATTACATCCACTACTACCCGGCCACAAAACTTGAAGTTTGCAAGAGCTCTGTATCAGAGGATGCCTTAGAGAATTACTTCATTTATATGAAAAAGTAAGTACAGCAACGACGACGAAAAGTTATGGAATTTAGATTATATTTGAGGGTGTGTGTGTGTGTGAGCAAGTTGCTGCCCTAAAGAATGTCATGATGATATTAATGAGAAGTTGAAAATTTAATGGATACTATTTAGAAAAATGTCACTTTAATTTTTAAACATGAATATTCATTATTTAATAATGAACATTTTTGTAAATAAAATTTTGGTTTCCAAATATGCGTTGTCCGCTATAAGTTTAAAATATGTTTTAAAAATTTGTTTTAAATAATTCATGGGCTTGAAGTTTATTCTATAAAGGTGCCAGGTATGAGCTTTTCATAAACAAATATATTTTTAAGGAACAATAGATGCGGATTTTTTAAATATGCGTGGAATTTTTAAATAAATAATTTTTAAAGGGCTAATAAGCTTAGATTTTCTTAATAAATATTTTTAAAGGATATTTGTAAAAGAACTCATAAGCGTGGATTATTTAAACAAATACTTTGTAAAGAGCCCGTAAGCGTGGATTCTTTAAATATATTTTTAAGGTAATGTAGGCGTGGATTTTTAAAATTAATATTCATAACCTTCACGACTCTGTGGTACAGGGTATTATGTCTTTGTGCATATGTTTGTAACAGGCAAAAGGAAGCGAGATAGACACACGGTTCCTTTGGAGAATATGCATAGAATCACTTTCTAAGTCGATTTATGCATGCCCGTCCGTCTGTTTATCAGTCCATGTTAAATTGTAAACAAAGTACAGGTTGCATTTATAATCCGAATTGGATGAAATTTGATACAGGTCACTTATTTGGCCCATGGACGAAACCTATTGAAATTGGGAAAAAAATCGGTTCATATTTAGATATAGCTCATATATATTTTTGTACGATTTAATGTATATGGTGTACCAAAGTCCCTATATATCTTTCGATTTGCACGAAATTTGGCATAACATACTGAATTAAGTCTAGGATGATGTGAGGTAAGTTTCGTGAAAATCGGTTCAGATTTAGATATAGCTCCCATATATATTTTCGCTGATTTTAGGTAAATGTTGCTCCAAAGTCTTTATATATATTTCGATTTGCACGAATTTTGGCATAGCATACTAAATTAAGTCTAGAATAATGTGTGCAAAGTTTTGTGAAAATCGGTTCAGATTTAGATATAGCTCCCATATATATTTTCGTACGATTTAAGGTAAATGGTGCACCACAGTTCCTACATATCTTTCAATTTGCACGAAATTTGGTATAACCTACTGAATTAGGTTTACGATGATGTGTGCAAAGTTTCGTGAAAATCGGTATAGATTTAGATATAGCTCCCATATATATTTTCGATTTGCAAAGAAATTTGTATCTTTGGATTTGCACGAAATTTGTCATAGAGTAATGAATTAAGTTTTAAATGATATATGCTAAGTTTCGTAAAAATCGCTTCAGAATTAGATTAAGCTGCTATATATATTTTCGTCCGATTTAATGTCAAAGGTGTTCCAAAGTCCCTATGTATCTTTCGATTTGCACGAAATTTGGTATATATATTAAATTGAGTCTAGAATGATGTGTGCTAGCGTTTGTTAAAATTGGTGCAGATTTATATAAAGCTTCCATATATATTTTCGTCCTATTTTATGTAAATAATGCACCGACTTCATGTTAATTCTGCAATTGAGATTACATTATAACAGTGAGGTATACCGAATATCGTGTATCAAGTTTGCCCCAAATCGTTTTACATAAATTTCACCCATTGTACGCAAACTTCTCTAAATCTGCCCGATTGTAATGAAATTTAATATAGGTGGCAGATATTTCAATTTGTATGTGATTGTGTACTAATTGGTTCACATATTTATGTCATATATTTTCCTGGTAACGCCTGTCAGGATACATTATTTGAATATACTCAAAGTGGTGAAGGGTATCATATAGTCGGTCCAGTCCGACTTTACTGCTTTCCTTACTGGTTTGAAGAAGCCAAAGGCGTGGATTTTTAAAATAAATATTTTTTTAAGGAGCCAAAAGCGTGGATTTTTTTAAGGAGCTCAAGGCGTGGATGTTTTAATTAAATATTTATTAAAGGAGCCAAGGCGTGGATTTTAATTAAATATTTTTTTAAGGAGCCAAGGCGAGGATTTAAGAAAATATTTTTTAAAGGTGCCAAGGCGAGGATTTAAGAAAATATTTTTTAAAGGTGCCAAGGCGTGGATTTTAAATAAATATTTTTTAAAGGAGCCAAAGCTTGGATTTTAAATAAATATTATTTAAAGGAGCCAAGGCGTGGATTTTAAATAAATATTTTTTTAAGGAGCCAAGGCGTGGATTTTTAATAAATATTTTTTAATGGAGCCAAGGCGTGGATTTTTAATAAATATTTTTTAATGGAGCCAAGTCGTGGATTTAAAAAAATATTTTTTAAGGAGCTTCAGGCGTGGATTTTAAATAAATATTTTTTTAAGGAGCCAAGGCGAGAATTTAAAAAATATTTTTTAAAGGAGCCAAGACGAGGATTTAAAGAAAATATTTTTTAAAGGAGCCAAGGCGAGGATTTAAGAAAATATGTTTTAAATGAGCTAAGGCGAGGGTTAAAAAAATATTTTTTAAATGAGCCAAGGGGTGGATTTAAAAAAAATATTTTTTAAAGGAGCCAATATTTTTTAAAGGAGCTAAGGCGTGGATTTAAAGAAAATATTTTTAAATGAGCCAAGGGGTGGATTTAAAAAAAATATTTTGTAAAGGAGCCAAGGCGTGGATTTAAAGAAAATATTTTTTAAAGGAGCCAAGGCGTGGATTAGAAAAAAATATTTTTTAAAGGAGCTAAGGCGTGGATTGAAATAAAATATTTTTAAAGGAGCCAAAGCGTGGATTTAAAAAAAAATATTCTTTTAAGGAACCGAGGCGTGGATTGAAAAAAATATTTTTTTTTTAAGGAGCCAAGGCGTGGATTAAAAAAAAATATTTTTTAAAGGAAAATCCATAGGCGTAGACCTAGATTTTTGAAATTAAAAATTTTGTTTAAGGAGACGGAGGCCTGGATTTTTGAAATTAAAAATTTGTTTAAAGGAGACGGAGGCCTGGATTTTTGAAATTAAAAATTTGTTTAAAGTAGACTTAGGCCTGGATTTTTGAAATTCAAAATTATGTTTAAAGGAGACGGAGGCCTGGATTTTTGAAATTAAAAATTTGTTTAAAGTAGACTTAGGCCTGGATTTTTGAAATTCAAAATTTTTTTAAAGGATACATAAGCCTGGATTTTTTAAACAACTAGTTTTTTAGAGGTGCTATAGTTGCGGATTTTAAAGGACCCATAGGCGTGTAGTTTGTAAATAAATAATAAAAATGGGCCGTTGGGGTAATTAAAAAAATATTTTTTAAAGGTCCCATACACGTAAATTTTTCAAATAACTGTTTTTTAATCAATATTTATGATATGTGAGCTAAAATATATTTTCTTTTTCTCTAAATCTTAAATTTCTTGAATATTTTCCCACTCGAATCGGTTTGCACAACAGAATTGGGTGTTTGTGTCCTTGAGGCCACTGGCGATAAGTCAAGGGGAACAATTTAATAATGCAATCATATAATGACGAAGATTGTCCTTTGGCCACAATTTTGAATAATTTGTTCTTGGTTTTGTAGCAATTGAATAATGGCATCGAGGGCGTCATACGCTACACACCCACACCAACTCCCACACATATTGGCATTGTCATTTGCCAACACAATCTCAGCACACAATTACATACACACACACCACCCACAACTACATATTAAAACAACAGACTTAATCTCATGTTTCTTGTTTTGCCTTCTATTTGTAATTCCTTTCTCTCAACACCAAACAGGAAGGAACATCAACGGCACATACATTTGAATGGAGCACGTTCGAAGAATTATCGCAGCATCAAGTGGACACAACCACGGGTCGATCAATTGTACACAATGTACATTGAAGAACCACTTAGTATGCAGTGCAACAAATCCGATGGTTTTCGTTTTGAGGGCTACGAATGGGAGGGTGCACCCATAACAACGGTCCAAATCAAAATACCAATGCAGCGTAAAGTGTGTCCCCACTACAATCCGTTGTGGCTGAAACCTCTGGATAGGGGTGAATGTGATTTGCTGGGCGAATGTATATACTAGGGACAAGAAATGGATTTAAAAGATAACGGAAGATGAGAATATTTAAAGAGAGTGTAAGAGTGTTGCATGATGGCAAGTTAGATACAAATACATGCAAAAACTTAGAACAATATGTGTTTATGCACTGAAACTTAAATAAGAAACAGTAATCGAAAATTATTGTATTTTTGTTTTTAGTTTTTTTTTTTTTTTTTTTTTTTTGATTTCTTCTTTGCTAATCTTTTCTTATTACTTGGTGACAGCAGATAGGTTTTTTGTGTTTTTTTGCTTAGTTTTCACATTTAAAATTCTTTTGGATCGAATTTTGTGAATTATGTTGTGCATGTTTTTGGACTGAATTATGTGGATTATGCATGTTATAAGTTGAAATATGATTTTCCATATACCCAAATTTATGTACGGAGTTCTATATTTGGCACCCACATGCGGGTTCTTTCTTTTTCGTCCACTGGAAATTGTTGAAAATTAAGCCACGGTTATAGTCGAACGGGTCCGACCATATGATACCATATACAACTAATCAGCTGTAATTTGGTATTTAAGGTTTCAACTGAATACCAAATATTCCTAATAAAACTGATTTATATTGGTCCACTTTTTACGATAGCCCTTATATATAGCTTCATCTCAAATTACTGGACCGTGTTTCAACAAATTGGATGTAATTTTATATTTTGAATTCGCATTGAGTAAAACATCTGCCTAGGAAATGTGATCAACTTTAGTCCAAGTTTGCGGGAGTGTACCCGTATCGTACACCCTATTATTTGGAATTTTAGGGCTTTGCTGCCGAACTTTTTCGATATTTTGAAATTCTTTGCCGAATTTCCCCACCTAAGTAGCAATAATTTAACATTCCGTGTTCCTGGGGATTGAAAATCATATTTTGCAAAAAAAGTGTATATAGATCAGTGTTTTTAGGCAGATCCCACATAAGCCCCGAAGATTTTTGGTATTTTTAAAGGTTTAGCCACATGTTCCCATTAATTGGATTGTAATTTGGCACTCCGGGCTCTGGTAGGATGAACAACATCATTGCAGAAGTTTACGTTGTGTTTCTATACTTTGACATGGTACCCCTTATAAAGAAGGTCCTTCTTTATTCTCGATATTAATTTCCTCAGAACAAACAATCTACTAGTAGCCATGTTAAAATGATATAGTATCCACATGAAAATGACACCACATTTTTGTGACCCTGACAAGAGATGGTCCGTCAGAAATAGTGATTTAAATGATATACATTTCCGACGAATAATAAATACGTCTGAAACATCGGAAACCCGTACAAAACCATTAGGTTTGTGACAAAAGAGTTATTAACATTGGTGAATTTGAAAATTTTAATGGTGAAAATATTGAAATATATGACGTTGACTACATTTTATACAGGTATATGACGTTTTTGACGTCGAAAAATTTTTAGCAGTCGAAAACTTAAAAATCGTCAAACGGACCATCCCTGGGCCTGACAAACTTAACCATGTAATAACTTACTTAGCTGGCTCGAGACAGAATATTCGTTCCATTAGCCAAACTCATTGGTATGGACAATAATGTCATTGACCAGTGGTATCAGTCGTTCCATTAGCCAAACGCATTGGTATGGACAATAATGTCATTGATCAGTGGTATCAGTCGTTCACCCTTTATATGCGATGGGATGGAGACTTATTATTTTATAGCTGGCACAAATCGTCTTGTTTCATTTTTTGTGCACGGGCATTCTTCTCAACTCACTAATCAATCAGCTGGTGCATGCTCCTGACCTGCATCTGACCACCGGTCTTGAATAGTTCGGCTGGTAACCCATCGGCAGTTGCTGTTTTATTATTCTGCAAACGTTTTATTGTCATACTGACCTCATCTTGGCTCGGTGGTATAAACTCTATATCGTCATCTCTTATTGGTTCTGGGGTATCTTCATCGCCGTTACTCTTTGACTCCTGAAGCGTTGCAAACTGCCCCTTGTAGATCCTCAACACGCTATCTGTATCTGTCACAACGTGTCCATTAATTATTTGTTTTTATAAACTTTTATTTGTTTTCAATAATTTTTAATTACTGGCTCAGTGCTCATACTCATAAATCACAATTTTTGTAATTTTTTTCAAATGCAAATCAGCCATTATGTCATTTGAAAAAATTATAGAAAATTGTTAGTCATAAAAAAACACAAGCTCATGCTGAAATATTAGCTAAAATAATTAATTATTTGGATATTAGATGAATAAATTGTGTCCTTTATTGAGAAAATACATTTTTGTTATTGTTACTTTCTCAGAATGTTTCTCTATTATATTTAACGTAAGAAATTTTTTTAGTTTTTCTTTTTTTTTTTTTTTTTTTGAAAAATCCTTTTTTTGAAAAATAATTAACACTATGTTACAAAAAGTTTAACCTTAAAATGATTGCCTCATAGTTCATGTGAAACTATACATTAAAATATATTAATGGAATATCCATTGGAATACATTTCCATGGCAAAATATCGCAACATGTATGCCTGAATATTTTGAAATTTTGTTACATAGTGTTGTTCTTTTAAACATTAATTTTAACACAAGTATTTATTTAAATTATAATACATGTTATAATTACGAAATATAAATATTTGTTTTTTTAATTTCCATTAATTGTTTAACTCTTTATTCTAAATAATTAAACCAAATACAAAACCATTTCATCTGAAAGCAACACAAACTGATGTAGTTCATTGCACAAAACTATTATTTATATTGAAAGTTATTTTTTAATCACACAATGCTGAAAATGTTATAACACAAAAAAAAACTAATCAGCTGCATTATCAAGTGTAAATAAATATAATTAAGTGGAATTTAAACATAAGACATACATTGCAACCGAAAACAAAATTTAGAAAAAAAAAACATAATATTGTATTAGCATTAATTTATGCTAAATGACAAATTCATAAATGATATTTATAAACCAAAAAAAAAAAAAAAAAAATTATATATGTATATGAACTTATGTATATGAGATGTGATAATTATATTTCTTAATTGTAATATTAGTAGAGTAACAAGGGGTATCGTATCGTATTTATAAATATGTGCATTGCTAAAAACAATTCAAAATAAAAAAAAACTATATATATTAAATAAAATGTAATGACCATTATACCAGAAAAAATCTAATTTTTTCCCCTCTTTCATTTTTAACGATATATGGTAAGTCGATACATTGTTTACGACAATGTATATGTTCAATACGTTGTTCACCCCTTCCGTAGCATACCAATTACACTGTGCGACACGAAAATTTTTCAGGGGTTCTGATGTACCAATTCTGTTTAGTTGGAGTCCCTGGACCACGAAAATACCTTTGGTTATTCTGGGTCACTTCGAAAATTAATTTTATAACGGTAAATATAGAGAAAAACGTGGTTTCATGGATTTTCAATTTGAAACTTGAATAACTTATTTACTTTATAACGGATTTATATTATTAGCTTTCGAAAATGATAAAAATCAAAAAAATCGGTTAAAAAATAGATGACTTATACAAATTTTTGTATTGATTCTATGCATATTCTCTAAAGGAACTATGGGTCCATCTCGTTTCCTTTTGCCTGTTGCAAACATAACGGTTTGTAACAGGAAACGATACAGACCCATATTTCCTTTAGGGAAAATGCATGGAATCAATACCAAAATGTGTATAAGTCATCCATTTTTTAACCGATTATCATAATTTCACCGTACAGTCCGAAGAAAAATAAATTATGTAATTTTATGCGTATTTTTTCACATTTCAACCGCTGTAACTCAGTCAATCTTCAACCGATTTACCAAATATATATCTTGTTTGAAAGGAAAAATTGCACTCTTCGAAAGAAAAAAAGAATAATATAAATCTGTCAAAAAGTAAATAAGTTATTCGAGTTGCAAGTCGAAAATCCATGAAACCACGTTTTTCTCTATATTTACCCTTATAAAATTAATTTTCGAAGTGACCCAGAAAAACCAAAGGTATTTTCGTGGTCCAGAGACTCCAACTAAACAAAATTGGTACATTAGAACCCCTGAAAAAAATTGTTTGTTATTTTGTAGCACAGTGTTATTATTCACATTAATTGACCACTCATTTGAGTCACATTCGCCTGGCTCGGATAGTAGGAGAGAGAGTATTCTCTCTTTCCTACCTTTTCTCCTAGAAGTCACATTCACTCAGTTCGGATGCAGAGAGGACTTTCCAGTGCTACGACCGTCGATGTGACCTCGACCTTGTTTACGCTACATTTGCTCAACGCGCTTTCGACTCACTTGCTTTTCCGCTTTCGTAGAATAAACCCTTGCATTCTCACTATCGTTGAACATAATCTTGCTTTCTAACTCTCGTTGGTTAAACTTTCATTCTTGCTATCGTCGTTTAAAGATATACTTTCCCGCTATCGATCGAACACGCACTCTTTAAGGTAAAGTTTTGTTTCCTTCGAAACTCACTAACTTGCCGATAAAGTTTGAAAATATACTTAGCACAAACCTTGTTATATCCTACACAACTTGTTATACCCTTCACAACAGTATAGCCTTGTGCAGCCCCAATATACCTTACACAACTATGTTATCATATTATATCGAAATATTGACAATAGACCCACCTTTAAGTATACCGATCGTCATATCTCGACTAACTGAGTCGATATAGACATGTGTGTCCGTCCGTCCATTACGAACACGATACAGGCCACAGTTATGGAAGAATCTTCACAAAATGCAATGCAACGCTTGTTTGAATTTTAAATGTAACTACAACCCTGTACATAATTTAAGAATCTTATCGATCCTTAAGAATATTATCGACAACGATAAGGAAATGTTGTAACCCAGAAAAGGGTATAAAAGAGCGACGAAAACACAAGAAGTCGCTCATTCCGCAATCTCCATACAAACACGATACATTGTTGTATCCATCTGATAAGGGTATAAAAGAGCGACGAAAACACAAGAAGTCGCTCATTCCGCAATCTCCAT